CCCTGACACCTCTCCCTCCCCCACCCCCCCACTACTCTAACGACCCACCCATCAGCCCTGCCCCCAGCCTAACAATAGCCGCTAAAGAGATTAAACAACTCTTCCTGAGGCTGCACCCCCGCAAAGCTCCTGGCCCGGACCACGTGTCTCCGGCCACTCTGAGACACTGCGCCAGTGAGCTTACTCCTGTGTTCACGGACATTTTCAACTCCTCTCTGCAGTCCTGCCATGTCCCGGCCTGCTTCAAATCCTCCATCATTGTCCCCGTCCCGAAGAAGCCCAGGATCACAGGACTCAATGACTACAGACCTGTAGCACTTACGTCTGTCGTCATGAAGTCATTTGAACGCCTGGTTCTCTCCCATCTCAAGTCCCTCACCTCCCCCCTCCTGGACCCCCTGCAGTTCGCCTACAGAGCCAACAGATCTGTAGACGACGCCATTAACCTGGCCCTCCACCACATCCTACAGCACCTGGACTCCCCGGGGACCTACGCCAGGGTCCTGTTCGTGGACTTCAGCTCTGCCTTCAACACAATCCTGCCATCCCTGCTCCAGGACAAGCTCTCCCAGCTCAACGTGCCCGATTCCACCTGCAGGTGGATCACTGACTTCCTGACGGACAGGAAGCAGCGAGTGCGTCTGGGGAAGAATGTCTCGGACTCTCGGATTATAAATACAGGAGCCCCACAGGGCTGTGTTCTTTCTCCCCTGCTCTTCTCCCTGTACACCAACCACTGCACCTCCAGCCACGACTCCGTGAAGCTGATCAAGTTCGCAGACGACACCACCCTCATTGGACTCATCTCCAACAACGATGAGTCCGCCTACAGGAGGGAGGTGGACCGGCTGGTGTCCTGGTGCAGTGGTAACAACCTGGAGCTGAACGCCCAGAAGACAGTGGAGATGATTGTGGACTTCAGGAAGAGCACTGTCCCCCCGCCCCCACCCTCCGTGATGGACTCCCCCATCACCTCTGTGGAGTCCTTCCGTTTCCTGGGCACCACCATCACCCAGGACCTCAAGTGGGAGCCGACCATCAGCTCCCTCATCAAGAAGGCCCAGCAGAGGATGTACTTCCTGCGGCAGCTCAGGAAAGCCAAGCTGCCTGCACAGATGTTGGTGCAGTTCTACACGGCCATCATCGAGTCCATCCTCACCTCCTCCATCACCGTGTGGTTCGCTGGAGCCACAGTCAGGGACAAACAGAGACTACAGCGCATTGTGCGCTCTGCAGAGGAAGTGATCGGCCGCAGCCTTCCATCGCTGCAGGACCTGTACGTCGCCCGAGCTCGAGGCCGGGCTGGTCGTATCACAGCCGACCCCTCTCACCCTGCACATGGACTATTCCAACCACTCCCCTCAGGCAGGAGGCTGCGGTCCATCAGGACTAGAACCTCCCGCCACAAGAACAGTTTCTTCCCCTCTGCTGTTGGACTCTTGAACACTTCTTTAACCTGTCCCCCCGCCCTTTATAAAGTCACTTTACTGCCCATCATACGTCACTTTACTTCACTGTACTGCTGTCACCTTACATTGTGTGCACCATGTGCACTTGTATATTGTAAATAGTAACTGTAACTCTATTTTAAATTTAAATTTATTCTTTAGAAGTGTTTTTTATTCTTATTTTTATTATCTCTTTTTGACTGTTGCACTGAGCCAAAGCAATTTCCAAGTCTGTGACCTCCCGTTACTTACGTTGGCAATAAAAATGATTCTGATTCTGATTCTGATTCGAGAGGTCTGTGGCTCAGGGTGATCTCCCATCGTCCGGATTCACTTTGAGACATGGGCGTTTTGGGTCATGAGATCAGTCCTTCAGTTACGCAAGGAGATTTCTGTCATGTTTACACATTCGTTCTACTAAATGGTGATTTTCTGTGTAAGAGTCTTCACGGAACCTGTCCTACTAATGCACACGATCCAAGACACGTCCGTTCTTATGGGTTCAGTCCCCAAAGGTCCTGCTGGGGGCCGCTTTTTACTTTGCTTCATTGAAATGCTGTTGTTTTGCCCAGGTATTTATAGAGTTAGAGTTATTATTAAACTTTCCTTATACATTGGAAACAATCATGTGACATCACTTTGCAAAACCGTAAGGATTATCTGTATCAAAGAGGCGAGTTTTCTCACTGTAATAATCAATTTTTTAAGCATCAAAATCATCCGTAATTGAGGAATGTACATGTTTTATACTAACCTGAGTATGTTTTTTTATATTTCCATTGAGAGAAGCTGGTATGGACCACCTCCAGTTCAGGAATGCACCTTTAATAATACATTAGAACACATTTGTCAAACACCAAGACCATTTTTATCGGCCCCTGAACTTATTTATTTATGGTGAACCTGCGTCATTGATGATGTGTATAACAATTTTTCTTCTCTGTTGTTTCTTGTTGATGAATCTACGCGGTGGCTGAGTGGATAGCCCTCTTGCTTCTCATCAAGAAGGTTCTAGGTCAGAATCTCGGTTGGAACAGGGCTTTTCTGCGTGGAGTTTACATGTTCTTCCCGTGACTGGGTAGGTTTTGTCCAGGTGCTCCAGTTTCCCCTACAAATAAAAACATGTAAAATAATTCAGGGTGAAGAGAGTGTGTTTGTGTGTGCGTCTGTGGGACAACGGACGCTAACTCAACCCAAGACTACAACCCGGACAGGTGTGTTCATTAACATGTACTGTCCCTACCAAATAAGAGCGGCACGGTGGCTGGCAGGATCGCACTCTCGCCTCTCAGCAAGAAGGTCCTGGGTTCGAATCCCTGTCGGAACAAGGCCTTTCTGAGTGGATTTAACCTCACTAGGTAAAATCCTCCAGCTCTGGTAGTCCTGACCAACCCGAGCATCAACATCTGGAGATGGGTTCCCGGCGCTGTTACTACGGCGACCGCTGCTCCTGACAGATCCTTCTCAGCATCAGGATGGGTCAAATGCAGAGGATGAATTACCCTACTGGGATTAGTAAAGTGCACCTTTAAATAATAAATAGATAAAGTTTGTGAAGTCGTCTGAGGCGACTGCAGTTGCAATTTACTGTAGGGCTGTACAAAAATGAACAAAGTTGATTTGAATGTGTCTTTTCAAAAAACTACTAATCAAATTGTAAGCCTTTCAAATATATTGTTGAATAACTGTCATAAGGAGTGCGAAAATACGTAAATAGAGTACCCAGCCAAAAACTGCAACTGAATTTCTCCATCTGTGAGATAATAAAGGATTGATTGATTGATTATATTTCTAATTCTAATGCCACCTATTGGTTTTGTGCAAATGAATTAATAACTTGTCAAATGTGTCGAGTCTCAGCAAAACAATCACGTGGCTTTACTAACGAGAATACAAATATTATTTGTACAAAACATTTATTAGAAATGGAAGACAGTTTGGGTGGTTAAAAGTTGTATCTGAAATGAATTGTACTGACGCCAGCTTTAACAGACGGGAAGTGTGCAGTGGATACAGACTGGACTCCAATGGCCAAGTTCATTACAAAACATGAAAAAGAGAAATGTTACAACAACAACAAAACAATCAAAAATATCAAGTGCCACAGAGTCAAAGAAGAAACGTGCTATGAAGAACACTCGCTGAAAGACATGAGGACAGATCAGGAGCGTTTCAGTTTAGTGCAATAGACATCCATGAGTAACAGAGACATGTCGGGGAGATCCAAGTTTGACGTCTCGGGAGAAAAAATGATGCTGGCTGCATTTTCATAGTCTGTCAATAGATGGCAGCGCCAGCACTGTTGCATCATTCCAACAATAGACATATATTTAGACTCTTTTTTGTTTAACTCTGTACATTACTGCAGAACACAAGATACAAATAATAACAGTTGGCAGACACTCGGGCTGATGCATCTGTTGTTTCTTCATCACACACTAAATAAATTCTGGTTTGTTAATAATAGCCATGTTTCATATATACACATACATTTTTTTTTAGTTTTTTTTTTTAGCAAAGATGTACAAACACGGTGGAGAGACATATACTTAAGCTTTATTTATCCAGAAAAAAGTGTTTCCTTCATCTCAGTCTATTCTAACCAAGATAAAATGATCAGTACCTGCATCATACTTGGTCAGTCGGATTGCTACACATGTTTTTGAAATGATATGTCCTTTTCTAACGCTGAGTAAAAACGGACAATTAGGCTTGTCATTTCACACAATCATAATAATCTGCTCATCTAATCTCAGTCAATTTAGCCTTGAACTGAACCACAGAACAGGTGACTCTGTGTGTGTGTGTGTGTGTGTTCAGGTCGGCAGTCCTATAAATAAATGCTCATTATTATTCACTGAATAAATATTTGAATAAATAAACCAACAGTTTGACTCCGGATCACATGTCATAATAACAGAAGGTACTGAGTTAGGCCAAAAAAACACAACTTCTAAAAATCCTTCTCTTAGTGATGCTTGTGTGAATAAGCAAACGTTCTTTTATATACTGTATTTTTTCAGATCGCTCAATGACCAAATTTGAAATGTGTGCGACTACGAGATTGCTCTTAATGTGTCATATTCATACAGTAGTGCTGACTGTGGTAATCCTACGTGCTCCAGAGGTCAGTGCATTCAGCCGCGGTATTCGTGACCAAAATGGCACTCCTACAAACCAGTGTATATCCTTGTCCCGAGGTCGTGCATAATATTCTGAAGAACCAGACCTGCGACACACGCCCAGAGACGTCTCAGCTTTCACTCTCTTCTGGCTATATACTGTTGCTCGCACAGCTACAACCAAGGCAAAAAAACTCTCTTTGACCACAACACATATATATTTCATGGTCTCGTGGTCCGCGCACACTGAGCACTCGTCAATATGGCTTCCCCTTTAAATTAATTTTGAAACTACTGGCTTTGAAATACATGGCTGTGTTTGTTTTTTGCCACAGAGAGAGGTATAAGCCTGTACTTCAGACGCACAATCACATTCGGAGTGTCTGTGTGTGCTCTTTCAGATTTAGTATTGAGAACATGTCCGTCTAGTTCAGGGTGTGTCGGCGTGTTTGTAGTAGCCTCTCCGGAGCGCGGCCGTGGCGATGTTTTCTGCCGATCGGCGCTGGTCCATGCTGAGCAGAGCGTCCAGGAGGTCGTTGATGTCGGCCTTGAGTCCCTGCCTCTGCATCCAGTTCTTGAGCAGTTCGTAGACTTTGTCGGTGGGGGGGCCGTTCTCGGCGATGCGGATGTGGTTGTCGCTGACGCCGATCGACCGGAAAAACTTGTTGTGGATCCGCACGTCCAGGTTTTCGTCGAACAAATCGAAGCTCTTCTTGAGGGACTTTTCTGACCCTGCAACAACAGATGAAAGACTGTTATGGCCGTAGAAAGTGGCATGACGCAAGAAGTCAGTTGAAACGCATTTTCATACATTAAAGATGAAGTCAGTGATTTTTTCCAGACGCATTTTTTTAAATATTGTGAGAAAACGTCCCTAAACTCTATAAGTAGTCAAGTTATCACATGTTTTCAAGTAGTATTGGAATTGTCCAGATTCCTATAGTCTTCAAAAATTAATGAATCGTATTTTGGAGCGGGCCGATACAGATATACCAATGGGATTCGTTCATCCCCAACGAACCAATGGGATGCGTTTACCCCCTTCATGTTTCTCGCAAGTGCCGCACCGGAGTTATCAGATTTTCTAAAACCTAAAATGACTGAACATAAAATGCCAATTTCACGTTTGCCACCCACTCTCCGTGTTGTGACAAAGAAATTCTGGATGTTTGGTTTGGTGGAGAGGCGAGGGGAGGGAGGAGTGGTTTCCAGTTGGTGCTACGGCTAAGCTAATAAAATTGCTTACTGCACCTTTAAATACTTTTTTTTTTCTTTGACGATACAGGAAGGTCTAAGGACAGTCGTCTGCTGCTGCTGTGACCTGTTAATATTGTTAGCTTTTTAGAATAACACATTTTATTTTTTTGCCACTGCACACCTGAATTTCTTCATACAGGGGATCAATAAAGTATCTTACTATCTATCTATTGATATTCAACAATATTTATGGACATTGGTCATCTACCTCTTCTATGTGTTTTTTTATCGTTGCATTTGAACTGTTTTATTCTGTTTGATCTGTTGTTGGCAAATTCAACAGTTTTGTATATTTAGGCTATACACACAGCAAAAATGATAAAATATGAGTAAATATTTGCTGGAAATCAAGTGTTTTTTATCATAAACCTTTCTTTTTAAAACAAGATAATTGTACTTTGGCAAATCTTGTTTTAAGGCAGTCAATAATCTGCCCAAGTTAAGACACATTTTACCAATTTTTTAAACATATTTTTCATCCTTTTTTGCAGTGCGAGAACAAATTGAATAGAATTGAAATATCTAATAATGTCGTTACAATGTAAGACCTTCCCCAACAATAAAACTCTGGTAATGCACAGATAGAATTGCACTGGAGGATTGAAATAACTTGGTTAAGCCATGTGGTCTCTAATGTAGCATGAAGCACAACAAAAAGAAAAAGGGAGTATGTTCCAGTCGCCCGAGGCCTTCAAGATGGCCTGACTGTCATGAGATTATTAATCTATCAAGCGGTTAATTTGAGATCTGCAGCACAGATTGTTTGAGCCGCCTGTGTACTGATCTGAACTTTAGTACACTGTGCTTTTCCACGGACACATTCGTTTTGGAAAGGCAGCGTGAATATTTGCCATTGTGGGAAAATGTTGGATCCCGGGAACAAATGGGAACATACCTTGAAGAGGCACGAGTCGATTCTCCAGAGGATTGTCCTGTGGAAGAAATAAAAATGTCTTTAATGTACAATAGACACAAGAACGCACAACTTAACAACCCGTTATTAACAAACAGAAAAACCATCAACATTGCACTCAGTATATTATAGTATTTAGCATTAAAATTATAATAAAGTTTTTTTTGGAGCAGATAAGTGTACAAGAAACAAAAGTAGAATATCAAAATAGTGCATCAATAACCCTGATTTACATTTACATAATACAAAATCATAAATATTAAATAAACAAGATAGATACAGATGCAGATACTGGAAAAGAAGTGGGAAGAAGAAAACTTATTATATACTAAAAATCTTAAAATACACAATTTAGGTCTTTTTTTCTTGTTGTTGTCATGGTGTGGACTTCCTGTAAATTTGATCTGGTTTTATTTTGATACACTCACAACAAGAGAAGAAATATATGTCACTTCCTGTCTGTCTGACTGTTTGCCCCGCCCTGATGTGTAGCACCTGTGTCTCGGGTAAACAATATATCCACATAAAATAGCATTAACATTATTAACATTCTTTCTTTCTGTAGTAGACAGTATTTTTTCTAATTTATCTATTCAATTTCGCGTCCGAATGTAGTCCGAGCAAAGATAGTCCGAGCAAAGATAGTCCGAGCAAAGATAGTCCGAGGCGGTCCCGCAGGTCTCTCCCATAGACAAGTCTCTCCAGAGGATACGATGTAAGCTAGCTATGTTCACCCGGGCTTGATTTCTTCTTTGATCATTTTTTCGCTTTAGTTCCCTCTTCTCTTCCTCACTGTTGTGCTGTTTGGACTGTTTTACTGTGTCTGCAGTTACAGCAAGAGGAGTTATAGCCAATTCTGCTAACATGCTACTGAGTTTAGCAGCGCTGTAGAGGCTAGAGGACACAAGCTGTATCAATGAGCTCAAGTTTTCAATGAAATTACGGATTATAATACAACTTGTATGTGGTAATAAGCATTTTTATGAACTCATTAGAAAATAAATCGGATATAGCATCCATCCATCTTCTACCCTTTAATCCATTTCTGGGTCAGGGGGGTGGCAATCAGAGATGCCACCCAAGTCTCATAGCACCAGCCCCTCACTGACCCTCTGCAGGTGGTGAGTCCACAGGAGGACGGCTGCTCTCTGAGTGTGAGCATAGCCTTGATCTTTCAGTGAGGGCTTTGGGCAAAGTGGGGTTAAGTGTCTTGCCCAAGGACACAACGACAGCAGTCATCAGTGGGAGTCGGTGGAGTCGGTGGAGAAGGTGTCGAGGTGGGAATTGAACCCACAACCTTTAGGCCTGAAGGCCAATGTTCTACCAACTGAGCTGAAAGGTATAGCATCTTTAAATAATATTCTTTTTGCAGTTCTGCTTCCGTGTCCTTCAGTTGTAAAATGTGTTGGATATTTGACGCTGTATAAAATCTAGCCTTTGTGTTTCACTCTTATCTTGAGACTTTACTAGTTCATTCATTTATGTTCTATTCTATACGTCTTTTGATGGCATCGCCGCATTGCCCAGAGAATGCAGTGAAAAACTAGCTTTGTAGCTAAAACTGTCACTTTTACATCAATGTGCAATGAATGTGCTTTGTGTCTGTTCAAATGAGCAAATAAAAAAATAAATAGGAAAAAGCAGGACAGAGAAACCGTTTCAAAACAGAACCAAGCCCCAAGGAAAAGCTCAGAAAACCTACAGTGTACACAGTGTCTCCAAACGCAACTATTTTACCATAAAACAACAATTCTTTGGTTGTTCTCTGAATCCAGTCATTTTTATCATCACGTATTTTCACACGACAGAAGGTTCACTCCACATCTGTCCTGGACGTGACCCGCTCTCTGTGAAGTGATGCCTTTGCTTCAAATGTCGCTCTCTTTGGTTTAAAACATGAACATTTCTCAATTATGTGGTTCAAAAACTGTAATTTTACACAGTGAGAAGACTTGCTACAATCTGCTAAAAATTGCTTGAATGGCACGTTTTTTGCTTGAATTTAGTTGTGAGTAAGATTATTGTTTTAAAATAATAATACTTCATGATCGTATTAGAGAAAAAAGGGTCTGAGCAGTGAGTTTTTAATGCTAGTTTTAGTATTTTTTTCTTATTTCTTGTTGTTTAGATACGATAAGTTTGTTATGCTATATTGAAAGAACACATTTCTAAAAAAACATTTAATAAATAAGTAGCTTTGATTTTAAACTAGACTCAAGTCATTTTGGGGCTATTAATTTCCAATTTTCAGAAATCTTGTCAAGTCATAATTTCTTGTTCTATTGGCAGATATTTTTGTTCTTATTTTAAGCAGTATTTGACTTATTTACATTTATTTTCTCTTATTTTAAGCAGTATTTTACTTATTTTCATACATTTTTTCTTATATCTCCAAGGTATTTTTTCCAGTGTAACGACAAACTTTGCAAATATCTAGTCAACAAACAACATCATTCACACGATCTAAAGGAGAAGCCGGGCCTCCTCCACCAGGGCAGCTGAGGAATGCACCTTTTGAGATATTTCAGAATGAGTGACGGGTTCTTACGATGGCAGCAGGTGTGAGTCTGGGAGGACTGGGGCTTTGATGTGGCGAGGAGGAGGCTCCGCTGGGCAGACCCGGCAGGCTGGTCTGAGACGAGCTGGTGGTGTTGGGTAAACTGTCCCCCAGTCCGCGGTCCTCGTCCTCCAGGGTCGGAGAGGCTTTGGTCAGGACGGACTGCGTCTCCTGCAGCAGCGGCCGGGACTCGGGACGGGGCTCCTCTCCCTCCAGGCCCGCGTTCTGGTTGTTCTGCCGCTCCTCTGCTGTGTCTCCGCTCTCGTCCTGATCACAGAGACGACCGGTGAATTTAAAAAAACACAAATTCTAACGTGGTGGAGAGAAAAGTATATTAGATTGAAAAAGTCCACTCACGATTGGGATCTTTACAATCTCGCTGGATTCGCAGTGACTTCCAGAGCCTATTTGCAGAAGAGACACATGTTAAGAAATATATTATGTCTACAGATTGACAGAAGTATTTAATAGATACTGTTGTGAATTAGGGCTTTTGAATTGAAATAAGGGTCGGTGGAAGCTCTGATTACCACCCCCTGACCCAGAAATGGATTAATAAAGGGGTAGAAAATGACAAAATGACACATGACATGATGATGAATTGAAATAATATACTAATCGATACTAAAACTAGCATCAAAACATATCTATTTAAAAACAAAACAAACAAAACTGAAAAAAAATGGGAGCTTCTCTGAGCAGTTATTGAATACTTTTGATCTCAGAACTAGTCAAAACTTGCGGTACACTGCAAAAAATGATGAAATATAAGCTTATAATTGCTTGAATCAACTAATCTTTTATAATCTTAGTTTAGGTACTTATTGACTGTTTTAAAACAAGATTTCTCAGTGGACCAACGCCATTTCAAAGACTTATTTTCTCATTCCAAGGGAGACATTTCTTGTACCTTTTTAAAACAAGATCATTTTGCTTTGTCCATCCATCCATCCATTTTCTACCCTTTAATCCATTTCTGGGTCAGGGGGGTGGCAGTCAGAGATGCCACCCAAGTCTCATAGCACCAGCCCCTCACTGACCCTCTGCAGGTGGTGAGTCCACAGGAGGGCTGCTCTCTGAGTGTGAGCATAGCCTTGATCTTTCAGTGGGGGCTTTGGGCAAAGTGGGGTTAAGTGTCTTGCCCAAGGACACAACGACAGCAGTCATCAGTGGGAGTCGGTGGAGAAGGTGCAGAGGTGGGAATTGAACCCACGACCTTCTAGCCTTAAGGCCAATGCTCTACCAACTGAGCTACTGTCGCCCCCATTTTGCTTTGTCCCATCGGCAAATCTGGTTTTAAGGCAGTTATTCTTGACTTATTCTTCATCACTTTTTGCACTGTACCATTAAACAAGTTATGTTATATTTCTGTTCATTACCCCCCAAAATAATCCACCGTGAAATCAGAATTGTTTTTTGAGTATTGAATCTATTTCTCAGAATCCGAATCGAATTTGTAATTTTGAGTATCGTGGCAACACTAACACAATACAAAATATAATTCTTCTGAACTTACATGGGATTTCACATGACTGCTGCTTGAGTAGAAACCACCAAAGAGCGATTCCAATTATAGCAAGGATGACGGCAATCACCAAGATGATACAAATGGGGATCACTGCAAAACAAAACCAAAAAAGTTAGAGCTTGAACATATCTCTGGATCTCTCTCTCCCCTCATTTCAGAAACTCACTGAACTCCTTCAAAAAACAGTTAAAATCTCACCTCATCCTCAAAGCATACGACTCTTAGTTTCAGCTTTATACTTTTCTTTCCTACTTTTAGTTTTTTAGTTTTGTGTGTCTGTCTGAATGTGTGTGTGTGTGTGTGTCTGTCTGAAAGTGTGTGTGTGTGTGTGTGTGAGTCCTGAAGTGTGAAGCGTCTTTGAGTTTTTGAAAAGCGCTCAATAAAACCTGATGTATTATTATTTTAATTATTATATGCAACCACTCGAAACCCACTGACTTGATCACTGCCCTCTCGTCCTTCATCTGTCTTCATTACTGTGATTTTGACTGTAGTCTGTTCATTGCTATTCACCCATTGTTCCATTATCTGTTTCATGGCGTACTGATGGGACAGCCCGACTCGTGAGCTGCATCTGCATCTGTCCTGACATTTATCGACAATTATGGACATTGGTCAACTCCCCCCAATGGACCAATACAAATGTGTTCTCTATTGTTTTTGGATTCTCTGATGGGGCCACATCCAGCTTCCTCGCTTCCTGGATTCGGCTTTTGAACGGCTGACCCGAGACCTGTTTTACTGTATGTATTTTATTTTGCATTTCTGCTCTTTTACAGTATTTATACTTGGATCGTGTGTTTCTGTGTTTTTGTGTACCCCCACCGGTGCTCCGTCTGTAAATGAAGTTCCTCACGGATTAATAATTTGAATTGAATTGTGTTGGTGAATCGGTTTTGTAAAGTCCTCTGAGATAACTACTAGAATTCAAGATTTTAAGAATGTATTTGCCATTTGCAGTAAAACCACATTGTGAAAAACTGTGCTATACAAGAATAAATTAAAATCTAAAACATAAGAATAATTGCGAGGGGAAAGATTTACCGATAGACGACGGGGAAGTGGAGGTGGGGACCGGAGCAGACGGAGATTTAGGCGTAGGATTCACGTCTCGTTTTCGGCACACGGTGTTGGAGAAAGGGGTGCACTTCTTCACCTCCTCCTCTCCGGGTTTGCATCTACGACACAATCACCGTGTTATTATAAAGGACGCCGGTATTTCAAGTATTGGAGGTGGCTAAAAGATCACTCACTTCGCACAGCGTTTGCAGACCTCGCAGGCCTGGTCTGGGACGCAGAAGGTTCCCGATCGGCACTGGCATCTGGTGTCAGTTGTGGTTGTGCAAGAAGCGGTTTCGATCTCGTCTGCGGGAAGACAAGAAAAAAGTTTAGTGCTTTACGAAACAGGAACAAGAATTTAAAAATAGTTAGCAAGGCTTGATATGGGGAAATATTGATACTGATGACACCAGAAACATACTACTTCCAGTTAGAAAATACTGTACTGTGCTGTACTGGGTTTTGATTGGATAAATGTCATGGTGAAATACTGGCAAACCAACAATGTTAATTCCGTTAATGTTTTGTTTAGTTCGTGTAAATCAGTGTTTTACGATAACATTACCGTACTTGCTAGACTATAAGCCGCTACTTTTCATAATGCGGCCAATGCATGTATTTTTGGTTATCAGAATCAGAATCCTTTTATCGCCATGTGAAGAACAAGAAGACACAAACTAGGAAATTGCTTTGGCTCTCGGTGCAAACAGGTTAAAGCAGAATAAAACCAAAAAGGCATGCGTAAATACAAATCTACATAAATGTATTCAGTTTAATATACACAAGCGCATTAGAACGTTCTCTATTTGTTTTGTTACATTGTTTTGACTCCATGAAGTTTTAATGTCAAAGTAGATTGGTTTGAGTGTGTAAAGATCACGGGACAATAGTGCGTTAAACAGTTGTGTATTGGCTTTGTTATTCTCCAACAGCTGCTGCTTCAGTCTTACATTACGAAAGGGAGACCTGAGGCTTATATTCAAGTGCGGCCTATAAGTGAAGAAAAATTACTTTCTCTGTGACTTAAGCTGGTGTAGTTTACAAACAGGTGCGCTAAAACGTCCAGCAAGTCCTGGAATATGATTTTATCTAATTCCCGGTTGTTTTCCTAAATCCCTTGAATATTTGTATTATTATGACAAACGCAAAGAAGGTTCCATTGTGCAGTTTCATTATTTAAAACTATTCCTGGATCCAGACGGAGAACCGGATTAGCTGCAAAAATCCAAACAATCTTAAAAGGTAGCTCTAGAGAGTGTATGTTTATTATTTCAATCACAAAAACTAAGTAAGTAAGTAATCTTTATTTATTTACCGCCTTTCACAGACCAGAGTCACAAAGCGGTTTACAATTGTTATTTTTGGGCACTTGTCCTCTCACTCCACACAGAGATGGGAGCAGGGTCCCAACTAAATGAAATGCAGACAAACTAAACAAAACGACATAAACAAAATCCCTGGGAGCAGTGTTTGTAAACTATGTAAAATTACCCCATGGTTTCTTGAAATTCCCATTTTCAAGAAACCATGAGCTGAACTGCGTAAGTCGATTATCACATTATAGAGATTTGATTCCATTATTTCTGAATCATTAACCCTTTAATGGTTTCCTCAACCATTTGGTGGATCACTTGGAAGTTAAATCTACCTCATTGGAGCAACTCTATCACTTGACTTTAAGAACCTTTCATCATCAAGCTACATCTCAACCACTTGGTAAAGGTATACACTGCAAAAAGTGCAAAAATGGCTCAAATTGCCAAAATGTAAAATAATTTGAGCACATTGTGACTGCCTTAAAACAAGATTTGCCGATGGGACAAAGCAAAATGATCTTGTTTTGAAAAGAGTCAAGAATTGTCTCCCTTGAAACGAGAAAATACAGAGAGAAAAGACAGTTCTTGAAAGAAGACTAGATGGCTTTGTCCCATTGGTAAACCTTGTTTTAAAGCAGTCTGAATACACTCGATTCAAGCAATTATCACCTCATATTTTATCATTTTGTGCAGCATATAACTATATAAAACTACTGGGTTCAACTCAGCAACCAAGCATTCAAACATTTGCATTTTAATCCGTCTGTACTTATATTAGTGACATCCATCCATCCTTCCATTTTCTTCCCCTTAATCCATTTCTGGGTCAGGAGGGTGGCTGTCAGAGCTTCACCCAGTACACATAGCACCACCCCCTCACTGATCCTCCTGCAGGTGGTGAGTCCACAGGAGCCTTGATCTTTCAGTGGGGGCTTCAGGCAGAGTGGGGTTAAGTGTCTTGCCCAAGGACACAACGAAAGCAGACATCAGTGGGAATCATGGTGGGCTTGAACCCACGACCTTAAGGCCCATAGGCCAATGCTCTACCAACTGAGTCACTGTCGCCCATATTAGTGACATGTTAGTCCCATATGAACCAGCCCGGACTCTGAGGAGCACAGGGACTGGACTCCTGTTAGTGCCCAGAGTCAGAACTAAACATGGGGAGGCTGCATTTCAGATTCATGCTGCTAAAATCTGGAACAATCTTCCTGAAAATGTGAGACAGGCCTCCTCTCTGACAATGTTTAAAACCAGGTTAAAGACAGTTCTGTTTAGCTGTGCACACAACTGAGGGATTTTATATTTTGATCTTTCTTTTTAATGTACTGTGATCATTTATGATTTTAATGCTTTCTCATTTTGTTCAGCACTTTTCCTTCTGTATGACATTGTGCTATACAAAAAAAACTTGCCTTTGCCTTTCCTACTTCACACACAATGATCTAAAACATGTAAATATTCGGATTGATTAGCATCCTTGAGAGCACAGGGACAGTATTCTCGCGGCTCATTCCTCACATTTCAGATCCATGAGCTGAGCCTCCACATTAGCGCCGCGACCTTGACCTTTACAAAACCAAAATCCGTTCGTGCCAAAGAGCCGTCAGATAGAATCCCACTATGACATTTCTCACATATCAACTGTTTGATGATGGATGTTTGAAGAAATAATCTCAAGAGCCTGAACCGGAGTGAACTTTTAAATTTGACGAAAAAAAGGGAGATTTGTTTTCTGCCTTGTTATTGATACATAACAATAGACACAGTTGAATGTCTGTTTAAAAATACACAGAAATATTGTCTGCGTATGGAAGCGGAGAAGATGGACTCAGATTGAGGTCCATATGTAAATTCCTGAACTCTGTCTAAACACACTCTTTCTGCATCCTGCCTAGATTTGAATAATTTATGGGTTTTTTTTGATTCTCCAAGACAATATGAAAAGCAACGCGGCGAAGAACAAAGGCATTGATTTCCTGTTTGTGCACAGACGCAGCCGCTTAAGAAAAATACAAAATGCGTAACATACCAACATAACAATCCTTAAACAGTATCCCTTGTGTTATCTCCTATTTACATGTAAGATTTTCATTTCATTTTGGATTGTTTTAAAAATGTGGTTCTGAATTTTTTGCATTCTTTGTGTGGGTGTTACTGGGGTTCTTGCTTTTGGGGAAAAAAATACAGCCATGATGCATATTCCATGTTATTTGTAATTATTGAAGTTTGCTGTTGGAAAATGTGAAATTAAATGATTAAAAAAAACAAAAACAAAAACACTGCAGCTTAGAAAATAAAAAGTCCTCTTTTTACAACAAAAGGGGTCTATATGGGGTTCTTGCTTTGGGGGAAAAAATGTATTATGTGTAATTACACTGCAAAAAGTGAAAATAGAAATGCATTTTTGAAATTTGTTCTCATACAAGCTGAAGATACATAATATTCTTGTTATTATGAATATTTTTTATATTGTTGGAAAAAATATGATCCATTGGCAGATAATCTTGCTTTCTAATAGTAGCTATTTTTTCTAGTTTTTTGGAGCCACTTTTTGCAGTGGTAAGATGTTTGCTGTTGGTAAATGTTAAATAAAATGATAAAAACCCAGTCAAAACCTGCAGCTTAAACGACCAAAATGTCCTCTTTTCACAACAAAAGTCAAGTCTTTCTGGGGTGAGCCATAATGAAGATAAAAAGCTGGAACAAGGGTACAAAGATCGTGTTTTTTAAAAAGACACAGGGCTCCAAAACACATCCTATGTAACAGTAGTCCCTTTTCTGTGGCTCCAGCCTTTCAGAGGACACAAAGAGGTCCCAGTGCAGGAGACAATGGGACACAGCCACACCCCAGCGCAGGTAAGTCCCACACCGGCCACTCTCTGCAGCGGCAACATGCTGCAGCGGCGCACTGGGACAAAACCACAAAGACACTCCCTGCTCCGTGTCACATCAGAAGATCACATTTTCATGAGTGGGTCCTGCGAGGCGGGGCAAACACACACACACACACACACATACATACATGCACACACACACAAAGGTATTGCCTTTCCCAACAATATCCTAACTTTGGAGAACTGGTTTGAGGAACATTCTTCATTGATGCCATGTTAATAGTCGTGGATTGAATTAAAGGACAAGCCACTTAGAGGTTTTTATTAGATTTAGCTTCTGTCTGAACCTGGTATGTGCAATCTCGTGACACTTTGTTAAAATGGCTCCATGTCTGAAAAGTTCTGTGACGTTACATGCAGCAGATTCAGACTGTTCACCTTTCACTGTAAAAAAAATGTTTAAACAAATGTACGATTATGTTGTTACGTATTAGGGGTGATACAGAATCAACAACCGCCTTGAACTGGTTTAGTTTGGAAATATAAAAGTGGAAAGGAAATGACATTCATATATCTGTTCTATGTCTGTAAATGTGTCTACAGGCATGGGATAAAAACACAGTAGGATCGAGAATTATTGTTTAAGATTAAGTTTAAGAAATCCTTTATTTGTTCCACAGTGGGGAAATTTCAGTGTTGCATCACCAGTTATAGAAGTAGGAATGAGGAGCACACAGCACAAGAAAAATGAACAATAACCCCATACTAAAATATCTAAATTCAGCATAATAAAGAAGCAAGTATAACATCTCAAATTTTAGCATAACATTGAGATAATGGGTCAGTCCATTCAGAAAATATAATCTGAAATGTATTTATGTTGTCACACTGTTTAATATTTAAAAATCAATGGGTCATAATTTGAAAATTGAAAATATAGTCTTTACAGGATATGATTATGTACAATAAAAAAGTACAAAAGTTTTTTTTTTTACCGGAGCGGCAGTGGGTGCAGGGCAGGCAGCGGTTCATCCCGTTGGAGTGCTCGGTGTAGGTCTGGCCCTGTTCGCAGACGAGACACGTGCCGTACTCCTGGTCGCGCTCACAGGCCTTGTGCACAAACGTTCCTGCAAAACAAACAAGATAAGATTCCATTGTGAAATAGAAACACTACAGGATATGGCTCAAAGGGAAAAATATTGTGTTGTTGTGGCAGACGTTGAGATTACATGTGCGAGAGTAGGCAAGATATCCCATCAAAATCCTCATGTGTTCTTAAATACAAAAATAATGTTGGCCACATTACTTGTTTTAGCCCTACAGTATAGCGGGATTGCAATCTCTGCTAGCTCCTGTTGGAGATTTTAGACTTACTTCTTGTTTCTTTATTATGTGGAAGTCAGAGATTTTACACTTAATTCTTGCTTTTTATTATGCTATCGTCAGAGATTTTATACTTAATTCTTGCTTCTTTATTATGCTAGCGTCAGAGATTTTATACTTAATTCTTGCTTCTTTATTATGCTAACGTCAGACATTTCATACTTAATTTTTGCTTCTTTATTATGCTTAAGTTAGAGTTATAGCTGTGTGCGAATAAATGTTTTCTTAATCCTAACCTCAAACTTGACTCCAGCAATTTCTGGCGACCTGGCTTCCCCAAAACGTTTCCCAAAATCTTGTATCAAATTCTGTTAGCGATTTTAGCCCTGGTCCATCTCTTATAGAATTTCAGGGACCTACCATTTTGGAAACAGCTAGTGCCTAAAGGGTTAAAACTTACATTTTGGGTCTCTCAGCAGTTTCTTTGTTGAAATCCAGTTAGTTTGGTTACTGCCTCAGCCTGAGCTGGGTTTAGCTAGTAACCATAGTAACCAGTAATGAGAGCCGGAGTTGTGTGTGTGATGAACGAGGACCGTTTTTGACTTGTGTCTTTAAGATTGTTGCAAATTATTGTCTAAATGTGCCTGATGTATTTAAAGATGTTATAGCACAGAAGCCCTCCCACAAGAAAACACAGTAATGAGAATAAATCATCTGCAGCAGCATCCTACATATTCCCCCTACACAATCTGAAATGGAGAGCAGAAAATACAAAATACATATTACTGACAAGAGATAAGAATTTACCAACCACAAACTCTCAGTTGTATAAATACTGTATATACTGTATGTAAAGAAAAGGAGGCCATACCTTTTAACCAGGCAGGCCAAATTAAAGTGTGTTATTGACCAGGGCTAGACTTATGAATGAATGTTATGTAAAAAGTGAATTCGAAAAGATTTCTTTGTTATAGACTAAATTATTTAAGATATAAGAATGTGCTTTCAATTTTCTCCCGTCTTTTCAAAATGAACAGTGAATGTTAATGAAATCAATACTTTGTTTTCTGGAATCGGATTTTATTTGAGTCAGAAGACCAACCGACATTTACCTTGTTTTGTGGTTTTGCGTCATGCTTTGACACAGCTTGAATCTGCAGTGAATAAAACCTCTTTTTTATCTTGTGATTGAGAATGAGGGCTCTGAGCGAAAAAAATACTTGTTTGACCTCAAGAAAAAAAGTCAAAAAAACAAACCGGTGATAATTTTTCAATGTCAAATGTCGCCACAGGACAAAGATCTTCAACGTGCTTTTAGATAATTCATTTTCTGATCTACGTTAAGAGGGACAGACAGGTTCAACCCGGAGCAAGTTTGTGCCTTTAATTGCTGATATTGGAGGTTTTTGACGAGGGAACAAGAGTTAAAAAACATGTTTAAAAACTCTTGTGTGCTTTAAAGGAGACACAACCCAATTCTGTAATATGGTAATTGTTTTATCAAATATACAGTTCATATAAGATGTTTTGATTGAGCTAAAACTGTTATTGAAGAAACCAGAACTTAGCTCCTCCTTCAAGCTTCTTTTGCTCTTCAGCTTTTGAGCATCATTGAATAGACAAAGTTATGATTATATATTTTTGTACCCTTTAATCGCACAGAGAAATATTGGTTCTTATTGTTTGCATTCAAGTGGCCGTTTGTTGCTCTGTGTTCCTTTTGTCTGCACAGAACTGGGATAAAAGGCTTTTGTATAGTCAAGTATTTCCAAAAAGACAGGAAATTAACTGAACTTATTTTACTGAATGCTCTTAAATCCAGATTGAGAGATCTTGAGACATCCTCAATTTGGTGTCATTTTAACTTGGTGACTTTTTATCTCTGGTTTTGTTTCAGTTTAGTTTTACTTCCTGTTCTTCTGTGTTGATTTTCTGCTCCGCCTTACTGTGTTTTACCCGTGTCTCTCTGTGTCATTTTTTACCCTGTGCTCATTCCAACTTGTTGCTGATCCATTGTCAATGTCTGTCCTGTTCTTTTAGGATTTATGTTTTTCCATTGGACTTTTGTTTACAGATAAATAAATAATAGTTTCGGGTCCTCTTTCATCTCACCCCCGTGACAGTAACGGTTCATATAATCTGTAATGTTATGTAATTGTGTGTAACTTTTGCTGCCTCTTGTCCAGGACTCCCTTGAAAAATATGGTTCTCAATCTCAATGGGACTTTCCTGGTTAAATAAAGGTTAAATGACTAAATCACACTTTTGTTGTCTTTTTGTGTTTTGATTTTGTACACCCATTTCTTAACACAGCACAAATGAAGTGAATCTGAATGGTTAAATCAAATCCTTTCCACAGAAGCCGTTCCATGGTGTCAGTGCCCTCTTACCAGCGTGGCAGTTGAGGCAACACAGTCCCATGTGAAGATACTGCTCATTTTCCACACATGCCCGGTGCCGCGTCAGGGTTATGTTCCTAAAGTCTTCCCCAGACCACTGAGGGACCGGGGCCATCTCTGCTGCGTGACCCTCAAACAGCACCACCACCAGCACCTGGAAGAAGAAGAAGAAGAAACATGGAGACAAGAGATTAAGCAGGATTCAAATATTCAATGCAAGTCTCTCATTAGATGCACAGTACAAAGATGAGAAACCTTGTGTGAGCAATCTCTGGCTTAATTTGAAACATCTGATCTAAACATCTGCTCTGGGAAAGCAATTAGAGAAGCCTCCAACCCAAGGAGCAGCAGCTACAGGCATGTGCGGAGGATTTTGGATGCAAAGCTGTACATTCACCCACTCAGTCTTCTTGAGCTAATGTCAGACCGTGCAAAATGAAACTACATTTGTCCACCGTCACTTTACTTTACTAATCTGTGTAATACTAGCTTTAATAATGTCATGTATAGAACCGTATGTGTCCATGGTAACCTTATTTACTTTGTCCAATACCCTCATGCTGCTAACATGTATAGATCTGTACATACATATATATATTTCTGCGCTAAAAGTTTGAGATTGCATACTTTCTTCTTCATCATGCTAATGCCAAAGATTTTGTACTTGATTCTTGCTTCTTCATTATGCTCAAGTAGGAGATTTTAGATTAGTTTTGTTATTAAGATAGAACCAAAGCCTCCAACCTTTTTCAACCGGAGAGTTACTTCAAAAGAGACAGAGAGCTACTTCTTTTTGCAGTTGCAACAGAAATTGATCAAATAATTACGACAAACCATGGAGAACACATGTAAAATATACCATAATACTGTATAACCCTATATTTATACTTAAAGTATATACGTATTGACTCAAAATGTATTCGTTCAAGATCATCTGGTAACTCTAAATCCTTTGGGGAGCTACCTAAAAGGGGCTGGCGAGCTAATGGTAGCTCCCGAGCCACAGGTTGGAGAGCCATATGATAGAGATTTTATACTTTTTAGGCTAAAGCTAGAGTTTAAATTTATTTTTAGTATAGAGAAATATTATTTTATCTTGTGCTGTGTCCTCCTCATTCCTACTATTATGTAACTGGCGATGCAACACTGAAATTTCCCCACTGTGGGACGAACAGAGGATCTCTTAATCTTCTTCAGTGTGTAGGAGTTCTTCATCACCTAATCAAACGCAGAAGTACGATGGCTGGCATATCAAATGTGATTCCAACGCTCGATTTATCCAACAGATAATAAAAGGCCTGTGTAGGTGGGGTATGGAGAAGAATACAGCCGAACACTTTAGTGGGGCCCCCAGGCGATGGTGTTTATTCACTGGCTTTTCACCGTGTCAATGTGAGAAGGCCCTATTCACGGGCAAACAACACACTTTAGTGGCTCTACTTCAAATGACCCACATTCTTAAACTTCATAGCTTTGAATGCATCGACATGCGACACCGCCATGGAAGCACCTCGTACGCAACGTGACACCTTTCGCGATACAGAAGAGAGGCCTAGATTTGCAGGTTTTGTCTCCGCTGCTCCCGCCCACCTTCCCGCTAAAGCAGCAGATAATGGGACAGGTTGAGAGGGCGAAAGGGAAGGGTTTTAAAAGTGAGAAATCGAAGACAGGACGATGAAGGTGGGGACGATCTACAGGGAATTACTGGGCGAAAAAACAAAGTGTGGGAGAATTAGGAGAAGAATGAACGCGGAATAAGGGACAGGCTTGAACCCAGGCCGCTTTTGACGCAGAGTTGGGCTCTCTGGAGGTCCGCCATGCCTTGTTGTTGAAAAAGAAGTTTCCCCTCTGCTTTTCCTTTCTTCCTCTCGCGCTGCTCACGTCAGACTTTCCAAAGAAGCCGAGAAGCAGGCAGACGGCGAACTGGTGCAGTCACAATCACACCATTTATATCTATCCAAACATTCTGGGGAGGCAGAGGAGAGGCGAGCAAAAAGTGAGGGGGGCTAACAGAAAGCTTGACACAGACAGACTTGAATACTTAAGGAGTAAATACAGGCCCACAGAAATGTCAATAAGGAGAAGGCCATGAGAAAACCCAATCGCTGTCAGTTTATACTACAGCATTCTAATAGACATTCATTATCTATTGTGAACAAAAATCCTAAAAATAAGTCTTTTTGTTTTTTAATTTACTAATTATCCACTATTTCAGACGTCTGTTTAAAGAAAGTGTCAGAGTGTAGAAAGCACATGGTGACATAATTTCCTGTCTTTGTTTTAGTCAGGATTTGTGATTCAAAACAGTGTCAGGTGCAGCTGCTCTGGTGCCTCTCGAGCACAACACTCACTCTGATTTTCAGATTTCAGTTTCAGAACTCCCCACGAAAACATTCACCACGGACTCATCTGGGTTAGTATTAGGTCCAAATGCTGGAAATAATCGATTATTATTTTAAACATCTATACAGTGAACTATAAGAAACAAGACTAAACATATCAAGACTAAGTTTGAGATGAAGTTGGACACTGCTGCAGATAAAATCTCTCCAGCCTTTAGCTCACACCTGTCGCCTCATTCTGGCAGACACACCTCAGGGGATTCAGGCCCCACCCACAGTGACCCGCCAAGCCCTTGTTTAGCTGCGAGGCATTGAGTCCAGAACAAAAGAGTCTGAAGTCAAAGAGACGTGCAGAGATGAGACTATTCAGTTACAGAAATATGTATATATTCAAATAAGTATGCGAGTTGTTATTTTGTAGATAGAAAGACACAGTGTGATGGAAGCAGCATTTACAACCTCATGAAATGTCCAGAGTCCAGACCAAAATCCCATTAAAGTGTTCAAGTGACTACAGACCATGGGCAGCCGCAATGTGGTGAGGTTTGAGCTCCGCAAACATTTGAGGAAAAACAGACTGACCATAACTTAAGTGTACGGAGCCCATAAAGCCGCATGTCCTGGAAACACTCCAGCATGGATTCAGCTAAGCTCCGTCTCCGATGTACAATGCCGGTTTAGAGATTATACAACATAACAATGTACTTTTGTCCTGAGCATTAGAGTGAGGCTGTTTGCTTGTGTGGATGCAAGTTAAACTAATAAAAGTTACAATAGAATAACGAGGGACTTTCTCTTTATTTGACAACAGTAGCTCGTCTCCACTTCCTCCAAAGACCTTGGGTTCTTCCCGAGCGCTTTGGCACAATCCACACACATGTCATGTACACTAAGAATGCATTTAGGACTAAATCACAGGACATCCCCTCGGTTAACCTACCTTATCAATGGGCCATTTAGACAATTGTGAGCCTTTATTTGCGTATCTTGCTCATCTCTTCATTAAAGCACTTAAGCCTTAAGGTTATGAATGGAGAACAGTGATACTCTTTGAACATATGATTCAAAATAATTAACAAAAACATATTGAACATTCTGTATGATTCTATTCCTGGTTGACGGAGTAAGCAATGGCATGATGCGGTTAATTACATTTCATTCAGTGCAACTTGGCCCCAATACCATGCCTCACTAATTACCTCGGCCCCCGTGGGGGTATTGTGTTTGTCGCAATGTGTTCGTAGAAAGAAACAAACTGCATATTGGGGGATTTGGATGAACTGTAAGGAAAGCACTGTGATAGCACAATAAACAACTGATTGAACTTGGGAGATGATCCAAATCCCCGTCTGGATGGAAGGATTCTGACGGAATATTCTGCATCTCTCTGCCACCTCTCCCAGAGTAAAGTGCAAGTGGCTCTTCACTGAAACACGTTGATAGAATAAGTTGTGCCACATGTTCACGGAGCTTCCTTACAGACAGGATTTATCTGAGCCCTTACTTCACTCTTGCTGGAAGTCTCAGGCGAGTCTTACATGAAAGCACAAGATCCAGCGATATAGCTTCTGTAACTCAACTTATCTTTTCTGCAGACTTCATTTGAAAAGCAGAGGGCAGCGGTGTGTGGGCTTCTCTCTCTCTCTCTTCTTACTGGAGCAGAGCTAATGCTAACACAAGGCTATCTGTAGCTGTATGTCCCTAAGAATTAAAATACTGTCACAGAAAAACACCCATAGACACTCACCCTGTCACTGCGCTCGTAAATATCAAATGCTTTCAACTAGGGCTGGGCAAAAAAACCCGGCAAAAATCCCAAATCCTGCTCTCCTACAGTTTAAGCTAGTCAGTAGAGAAGCTGACTCAAAGAATTCTTAAATAATAAAAACTAAAGTGGGTCAAACATAATGTGTAAAATTCTCTGGTCTAGAATGTAGCAGAAAGGCACGTAATATAAATAAGCCATTAATGTGCAGCACGGTCGATAGCACTCTCGTTTCTCAGCCAGAAGGTCCAAGGTTTGAATCCTGATCTGAACAAGGCCTTTCTGAGTGGAGTTCTCCCCGCGTCTGTGTAGGTTTCCTCTGGGTGCTCCGGTTTAACCTACCACTAAAAACATGTACAATAGGTCTGCATGCGCCTCCTGTGCTGGCGACCTCGCTCCCATCTCTGTGTGGAGCCAGAGACAAATGACCACAATTGTAAAGAGCTTTGTGACTCTGGTCTGTGAAAGGTGCTGTATAAAATAAAGATTACTTACTTACCTAATGTTATATATTTTATATGATAATAGAAATATAGCATCCATCCATCCATCCATCCATCCATCCATTTTCTTCCGCTTTATCCGTTGCCGGGTCGCGGGGGCAGCAGTCTAAGCAGAGACGCCCAGACTTCCCTATCCACACACACTTCCTCCAGCTCGTCCGGGGGGACCCCAAGGCGTTCCCAGGCCAGCTGAGAGACATAGTCCCTCCAGCGTGTCCTAGGTCTTCCGCGGGGCCTCCTCCCGGTGGGACGTGCCCGGAACACCTCCCCAGGGAGGCGTCCAGGAGGCATCCGGAACAGATGCCCGAGCCACCTCAACTGGTTCCTCTCGACGTGGAGAAGCAGCGGCTCTACTCCGAGCTCCTCCCGTGTGACTGAGCTCCTCACCCTATCTCTAAGGGAGCGCCCAGCCACTCTGCGGAGGAAGCTCATTTCGACCGCTTGTATCCGCGATCTCGTTCTTTCGGTCATTACCCAAAGCTCATGACCATAGGTGAGGGAGGGAACGAAGATTGACCGGTAAATCGAGAGCTTTGCCTTTCGG